TTCTTGATCATTGCTGACATGTTTCTACACCTTGATTGGAGTCCACCTGTGGTAAATTAAATTGATTGGACATAATTTGGAAAGGCAGACACCTCTCTATAGAAGACTTTACACCTGACAACGCATACTATAGCAGAAAAGCCATGAGATCAAAGAAACTGCCTGCAGAGCTCAGAAACAGGATTATTGCAAGGCCCAGATCTGGAGAAGACTATAATAAAATTGCTGCTGCACTGTAGGTTCCTAAGAGCATAGTGGCCGCCATAATTCTCAAATGGAAGAAGTTTGGCACAACCAGGATTCTTCCAAGAGCTGGCTGCACAGTCAAACTGAGCAATTGGGGGAGAAGGGCCTTATTAAGAGAGGTGACCAAGAATCTGATGGTCATTGACTGAGCTCCAGAGATCCTGTGTGGAGATGGGACAGAGTTCCAGAAGGACAACCATCACTGCAGCCCTCCACCGATTGGGCTTTATGGTGGCTAGATAAAAGCCTCTCCTCAGTGAAAAACACATGAAAGCCCACTTGGAGTTTGCAAAAAAGCACCTGAAGGATTCCCAGACTGTGAGGAACAAGATGCTCTGGTCTGATGAAACCAAGGTCAAACTGTTTCAGCTCAATTCTAAATGTTATGTCTGGAGGAAAAAAGGCACCACTCACCACCTGCCCAATATCATCTCAACAGTGAAGCATGGTGGTGGCAGCATCGTGCAGTGGGGGACTGGGAGACTGGTCAGGGTTGAGGAAATCTGAATGGAACGAAGTACAGGGATAACCTGTTCCACAGCACTTAGGACCTCAGACTGGGCCGAAGGTTCACTTTCCAACATCACAACGACTCCAAGCACACAGACAAGACAATGCAGAAGTGGCTTAGGACAACTCTGTGAATGTCTAGAGTGGCCCAGCCAGAGCCCTGACTTGAACCATATTGAACATTTCTGGAGGGACCTGAAAATGGCTGCCCATCAACAGTCACCATCCAATCTGATTGAGGTTGAGAGGATTTGCAAGGAAGAATGACAGAAAATCCCCAATTCAGATGTGCAAAGCTTGTCACATCATATCCACAAAGACTAGAAGCTGTAATTGCTGTCAAAGGTGCTTCAACAAAGTGAAGGGTCTGAATACTGATGCCAATGTGATATTTCAGTTTTTTCTTTTTAATAAATTTACAGACATTTCTAAAATTCTGTTTTCACTTTGTCATGATGGGGTACTGAGTATAGATTAATGAGAAAAAAATAAATGTCAACAACTGTAGAATCAGACTGCAGCACAAATTTTTTTGACAAAAGTGAAGATGCTCTGAATACTTTCTGAATGCACTATATATACAGACATCCTTGTCACTGTAGTTCTGGAACTATGAGTTATTTATTCAAGCACACTAAAGGAAGATTCCATACTCACACTTTGAGGATTGGAGACTTGTATTGTCCCAAGAAAAAAAAGCATTTGAAAATAGATTCTACATAACGTGTAGTGCTAATATGACAAAATTCATATTGTGCTATTGTGATTTTTCAGTTTTTTCTACTGGGACTGTAAAACTGGATGACAGTTATCCTATTGGAACGGTTAATTAAGAGGAAATGTCAGAATACTAGTGTCAAATGAAATATAGTGTTATTATCTTTTTTGGTATTAAATCTGTTAAATATACATTTTGAAGTAAACTTTGTTTTTGCATATTCTTAGATTTTATAGAAAGAAGATGGTTATTCAAATATCAAAGGAAGGAATCACATCTAATAATATAGAAGGAAAGAAATATTGTCAAAAAGAAACATTCTTTCAGAAATTAGGGATGGAATGTTAGGAACTGTCAAGCTCATAAGTTCTTCCTCATGCGAGAAACTATGCACATATTGTATAACACACTAAAAGTATGATTTCCAGCCATGTTCATTTTTATAGGTACTGTAATCAGTTTTAAGTATTCGCAAAAACATATCAGGGCATTTCATAAGCAAAATTAATTAAAAACCAAACAAGAAAAACTTCGTGGCTCAATTTACATTGCATTTCAAGGCTGCAATCCTATGCAAATTCAACTCAACTCAATGGAGTAGGTTTGAGCAAACATGCATTGGACTACACTATAAGCAAATAGCCATCTTTTCATACTAGAAAACCAACAAAAAATCATCAAGAAAGAAGTGGCGCAGACTTATTATTCAGTAACCAGTATAAAATCTTAAAATCACTTATAATTTTAGTATCAATTTGTGGTCACGCTTGTGATTTTTGAAATGTCTTAGAATAAAAAATGTATTTTGGAAATATACATATTTTTAAAATAAAGCAAGGTAACTACTATTGGCATTTAATGTTTTGCATGAACTACAGAATCTATGGGAAATCATTCCTGATAAATTATAATTTCATGAGCACCACTGGAAATAGGAATATGGGAATCAGATACATGGATTATTTGCATTAAAATATGTATATGGGAGCAGTCTTTTTTTTAAATAGTAAAAGTTTACATTCTGGGAATGTCAAATTAACTTCCCAAAGATGCTATGCATATTCTGTATGGTGTCAATTATAGTACAAATTTCTGGTTCTGCTTTAATTTTCTTTTGAAGAGATTAATTTAACATGATGCTTAATGAAGCTTTTAGGACCGTCAATTGAATTAGAGTATAATAATTTAAGTTGTTAATTATATTTCTATTTTGGTTACTTCATTTATTTGAGATTTTACTTTATTTTCTATAATAAACTTATCAAAACACATTTAAAAGTTACATGTTAAACCAATATGCCAGTGAAAAATAGAATTGAAATTGTTTATAACAATTAGCTGTTTCCTTGTTGAAAAAGGACAATTTTTCTCTATAATACAAATGTTTATTTCATATATGGGAACAAGAGGAAAAAATATATAGGGCAAGAGCAGTATATTCTCAAATAATTTCTAGACCATGTCTTAGATTGCTATTATAATAATTAGTGATTAGGCTATTAATTTCATTCATTAAGTTATCAACTTTAGCCTCATAAGGAAAACAGTCATATCAAGCAAAAGACTCACAGCTGATCCTATGTTTTCAATATGTTAGTGGATAGAGGTAAATTACAATTTCTCAGTTGAAAAATGGAACAGCTACAAATTCAGTAGTTCTCAGTTCTCAAAGTGACACTGACTCATGTAAGTGATATATTTACCACCATAATTTGGAATACCACTAGCAGTAACTTTCTGCCAACAGAACATAACTATCTTGTCTGGAGATCCCTTCTATCTAAGAGGCAGCTTTGTCTCTTCCTACTTTTCCTCAACTAGTAGATCTGAGCTATCCCAAGCCTGTCTTACCCATAGATGCTATGTCCGAAGATAACATAAAGTATGACATACTTTTATGCTATTTAAAATTTTAAAAGATACAGCTTTTACATAGTTCCAAGGTATCTTTTTATATGATAGTGATATATAGCTAGTGCTGTTCCAAGATTTAAACTTAAAACTTCATAACACATCCAAAATGTTTGGCCACTTGTAAAAATCAAAAATGCAATCAAATACAGGAATCTTATAAGAACTACTGTCCCAAAGTAAGAAATGCAATTATATTCCACTGTTGCATTATTTCCAGTAAGCAAATACAAAACTAGGGCATTGTAGCTAAATTATACTGATTTTAAGCAACAGCATCTTAATTCTTAATGCTGTTATATTTGGCAACAGTAATTCAATGAAAGTGAATCCATCCTGACAGGCAGACTGCCAATACAGTATGCAACAATAATGCATTTTGTAATTTAAGACTTAAGTTCACCAAAAGCAAAAGCGGTAGTGCAACTGTGAATTTCCAAATTGTAAATTTGTAATTCTCAAACTTTATTGCAATAAAAGTGTACTGACTTCATAATATTAATGACATTTCTGTAACTTTCATATATTTCATATTATTATAAAAGCATAATTTTGTGGAACTTGACTAATTCACATTATTGAAAATTCAAACTTTTCTTGAATTAAAAGAATGTCATTTTCTACATAAAATATTAATTTAGCACAATATAAATTCTAGAACTATCATATTCTTAGATTTTGAAGGCTTTTTAAAAGAAAAAAAAAATAAAGGATAAAAGGTTACATTCCATCAACTTGTTAGAGAGTAGATCCTAAAAACATATTTTTAGTTTGGGCAGAAATATTTTTATGAGGCCTTTTCAAATTATGGAAGCTAACTAGCCCAGAGTTTAAAAAATTCCAAATATCTAAATGCCAGTTTTCAATATTGATATCAATGAAACTTAATCCAAGTTAAATGCATATACGATTGTAGCCTAAAGAATCTTCAAACCTAAACCTTATGTGGTCAGTTATTTGAGATAAGCAAGAGTGTTTTGTTCTTAAAAGTGGCTCAATATGTTTTAGATAACAACTATGAACTGAATATTCACAGCAAGCAAATCATCAACAAAGTATTTTTATATATCACTTTCTACCCAAAACACCAGAAGCATTACAAAAATGACAATTCAAACATTTGCTTCATTTTTGCACCATATATTGCCACACTTAAAAAGCATCCTTAAATCTTACTCTTCAGCCTTCAGAGCATGCCAGTCCACCTTCTGAAGTCATAAGAATTTAGAAGAGCAAATATTAATTTGTTTAACCTGTCACATCAGCATCTACAATTTTCTTTCTACCTAAAGATTAAATATGAAATTGCATAACCTAATTCATTTCATTTTATTTAACTGTCTACATTATTCTGTGGGTGCGTGCGCATGCACTATCACACACAGAAACAGTGGTATCTACATACAGTTTTACACAAATATTTACATACATGTATTATACACAAACTAATGTGATTCCATGATTTTTTTAGTAGAAAGGCATATGCTTTTGTAGCATATACAATTGTTGCACTAGTTTTACAAGAGCATTATAAACCTTTTGCAACAATTAGTAAAGCACAATTCAACCAGAATATTATAGATTGTATATAAAAAATACAATACCTAGAATGCTTATCAAACAAATAATGCTTTATTGGCATCTAAAAAAACATTTAAAATGTATGTTAGTTTTTAACTCATTGCAGTACGAGGAGGACAGATCATGGACACTTATTTGAGAAACAGAGACTATAATGCAGAAATTTCAAAAATACACCATCTCTGTATCATTTATGCTCCTTTTCTGGGCCAAACTGAGGGAACATTTAGTATCACAGTTCTGCCTACGTTTTAAAATTTTCCACCAGCCTAGAAATCTGGATAAGATATACCAGCGCCTGTTTTCAAGTATAACAATTTCTATGGCCAACCTAATAGCATCTTAAAAAATCAAGTTCTTCCATAGGAAGTCTTTTTCTTTGTTTGACAAGCTGTAATTTATCCTTCTGAAGTAAAAGCAAGTGGGGAAAGTTTGTGTTTTGCCAGGAAAAAAAAAAGAAAAGAAAGACAAACTTTACCTACCATGTTCAGATTAAAAACAATATTCTATACAGGTCAGTTGTACAACTATTTAAGTGAAAGATGAACGTGAATATTAGATTAACTTAATTCTGGAAGAAAAAAAATGAACTAAGGTCCAGTCAGCCATTCATCTATTACAGAGAGAGATGACAACTTTACAAAAGGTATCTTTTTTACCTACTGAGTGATGATTATGTCCCCTCAGTTTCTGTGCTTTCTACCACTGGTTCAGTTTCTAATTCAGCTTCTGTGTCACTCTTCTCTTTTTTTGTCTCATTTGAAGTCGCCAACTTTTCATAAAGTTCCAATTCATCCTGCACTTGCACAGCAGATGGCTGATTCTCCGTCTCTGTGTTTTCACCATTAACTTGGGGAACACTATCAACTTTTTGTTGAGAAGCACCACCTTCAAAATATTCAAACACTCTTGGATGCGGAGGGGGTATCCAGTTGTTCTGTGTTCTCTCTCTCCCAAATCTGTTTCCATTCATTTCTCTACCAAAATTAAAATCTCTATCATCCCTGTCCCTTTGCCTTTCCCATGGTCTACGACGGTCATCAAAGTCTCTGTGAGCATCTTGTTCAAGTCCTCTGTTCCAGGTAGGACCACTTCGAATTTCAAATCTGTAGTTTGTTTGCCGGTATCTGTCTCGAGCTTCCTGGAACCCTTTGAGACCACCATATACAGGAAAGGTCTGATGTTCTCTTTCATCATAATCTCCTCTTTGACCCCAGTGTTTTTCTGAGTTGAAAGCAAAATGCTCTCTCCTTAGATTATCAATACCTGGCCTTCCAAAGTTCTCCCGTAAATCTATATGTGGTCTGAGAAGATGTTCTCTTCCATCCATAGGAGGTCGACCTAGACCTTCTCTTGGATCTAGTGGTGGCCTTCCAACAGAATCCCTTATATCTATTGAAGATGTTCGATCTCTACTTTCCATTGGAGGAAAGCGATAGTCTCTATCTCCTTCTTGTTGAATGCTATCTTCCCCAACAGACAATCTTTTATCTGGGTTAGAAATATCCATATTGTGCCTACCAGAAGTTGCAAATGGCCTCTCTGTTTGAGTAAAAATATCTCCTGGAAGGAAAGGAACTCTAGGTGGAGGAAGGGATGGATCAAGTATAGCTGGAGGAGGAACTGTACGTTGTGGTGGCATCCCATGTTGCAGTAGTGGAAATCTAGGACCAGGTGGTTGTGGTATTAATCCCGATCGGATTTCTACTAGAGGAATTCCAGGCAACCGTTGACTAGAAATAGTTAAATGGGGCAAATTTTGAATTCCAGAGGGTGGTTGTAGTCCTAATAGTCCAGAACCACCTGAAATATTTGGTGGTGGCAATCCTAACAGTCCAGAACTACTTGAAACCATTGGTGGTGGCAATCCTAAAATTGCAGAATTGCTTGATACAATGGGTGGCTGGAGTGCTGACAAAAGCCCAGAACTACTTGATACAATGGGTGGCTGGATTCCTGACAAACGTCCAGTATTATTTGAGACTATGGGTGGTTGGATACCCATTAAAAGGCTGGAGCTGCTCGAAACATTTATCGGCTGAAGTCCTGACAAAAGCCCAGAGCTACTTGAGACACTTGGAGCCTGAACACCTGTTATAAGACCAGAGCTATTTGAAGCAGTGGGTGGTTGAACTCTTGTCAAAAGTCCAGAGCTGCTTGAGACACTGACCGGCTGCACAAGTCCAGCACTACTTGAGACATGTGGTGGCTGGATTCCCCCTACATGCCCAGAACTGGTTGTGATACCAGGTGGCTGTACTCCCTCGGTAAGTCCAGAACTGCTTGAAACATCATCTTGAACTGAAATACAAAAACTCAAATCAGCAAACTAAAACAACCATGCCTAATACTTTTAATAGTTTAATTATAAAGTCAGTTTAAACTAAATTCAACATCTACAGGTTGGCTTTTGATTACAATCTGCAACAATATTTATTTAAGGAAAAGTAAACAGTATCTCTTACTGAAGAATAGCTTATAAAATAAATGTTTAGAAAAATTGTAAGCCTTTAAAGTACTTTATCTAGAAAGTTATAGAAAAGTTAAAAAAATAGTACTAGGGTTTAGCACAGTGATGGCGAACCTTTTAGAGACCGAGTGCCCAAACTGCAACCAAAAACCCATTTATGCATCGTCGGGTGCCGGGTGGGTGTGGCCATTGGCTGGGTGTGGCCCATTGGGTGGGCATGGCTGCGGTGGTAACGGCAGACTGGGTGGGACTAAAAAGTTCAATCAATCAATTCCAACTTTGCAAGATCTTTTTTTCCCCGCAAGAAGTTGAAATTGACTGATTGAACCTTTTTTTTTTTTTGCACACGGCGGCGGAGGCCTAAAGTGAAAAGGTTTTATAAAACCCGCTGAAGGCCTATGACTGGGGCGATGGCGCACGTGCCCACAGAGAGGGCTCTGAGTGCCGCCTCTGGCACCTGTGCCATAGGTTCGCCACCACTGATTTAGCATATCATTTTCCTGTCTTCCTGTATATTTGAGTGAATAGAAACTATAAAAATTACGCTAAAAGTTTTTAAATTATTTGTATGGTATTAATATTAATACAATTCAGATTAAATAAATAAAAAAGTATTGTGGCAATATAGTGATGAGTGAATAACAAATCTTATTAAAAACATACTGTTGAAAAAAAACAGAAATTATATTGCAATTGGCCTAATAAACAACTCTAGTTATTCTGATCCTATTATCTATCCTTCTAGTATAAATGTATGTAGGTATGTCTGTCTGTCTTTATTTAGCTCTTAGGAACAAGTAAGCTCATTACTCTCCCAAAAGCGGTATCTGATACACATATGAAGTCTTGAAAGTTATGACATTCCTATTCTAAGCATATATGTGTATGCATGTACACATGCATTTGTCATGTACATGCAGATGCAAGCACACATATAGTCCTCCCAAAAGGTTTTATAATGCTACTTACCAGTTCTGTTTTCGGTAGAAGAGGTTTGAAGATCAGCACGAAGAGATCCTTTTTCATCCAATTCTGAACTGTTATTTGAAAGAGAAGAAAAGACACTTCCGGCAGATAATGTTGGTGTCGTAAGACTACTAGAAACAGTACCACCTGGTAGAACAAGGCTGCTAAAATCTTTCATTGATTCTTGAGCAATAGTCAGCGACGGCTGTACAAGAGCTGTAAAACAATACACATGCACATTAATGGTTGTGCAAATCTATACAAGTCTTTTTAAAAGAAACTACTAGTATGTTAATCAAAATCTTTCTACTTAATGTATAAACAAGTAACCACAAATAAGAGAGAAGCAACTTAGAACTAAGGAGAAGTTAGAACAGTTAGAACAATTAATCAGTGGAACAACCTGCCTCCAGAAGTTGTGAACGCTCTAACACTGGACGTTTTTAAGAAGAGACTGGACAGCCATTTGTATGAAACAATATAGAGTTTCCTGCCTGAGCAGGGGGTTGGACTAGATCAGAGGTCCCCAACCTTTTGGGCACGAGGGACTGGTTCCATGGAGAAAGATTTTTCCACGGACTGGAAAGTGCGTGGTTTTGTATGCTGCCTGCATCCCACGGATGGGGCTTTACTTGTTTGTGCAGACCAGTTGTTGGCATGCCACGGCCTGGTACTGGTCCACGGACCAGAGGTTGGGGAACCCTGGACTAGATGACCTCCAAGATCCCTTCCAAATTTATTATTAAGTTAAAAGTATAATCTTTAAAACATCCAAAGTGAAGAAAGCTATTAGAAAACCCATCAAAATTATACAGTTGGATTATAATTAAAAAAGATTCTAATCGTTACTCATCAATAACAATAAATACAATCTATTACCTATTAATTTGGGGCAGTTAATACAAATAGTGCAGCTTTCAAACAGCATGAGCCTCTTGGGATCAGATAGAAGAGGGTTCAGTTATGTGCCTGTCATTCTGCCTAATATTAACTGTTGTTTTAAGAAAGAATTGAGTTCATAGAATAAGTGGATGGTCTCTGTTTATTTCATTTTATGGGCAGAAATGCCAAAACCTGTCTGTAGGAGGCACTACCATGCTTTAAGCACAAGCACTGTTAAATTGACATACAAGTGCAAAGACTTGATCTAAGTCCCACTCTGGTAGAGTACAGAAATGAATTTTAGATCTGCATGATTTAAGCTTCTTTTCTGCACCAGAGAAATTCTCTTCCATGCACCAAGGAGAGCTGACATCTGTCCAGGGGGTGCAGAAACAGAGCTTAGATCAGTGGTGGCGAACCTATGGCACATGTGCCAGAGGCGGCACTCGGAGCCCTCTCTGTGGCTACATGAACGTTGCCCCAGCCCCGCCTCCTCCCACAGCCCCCTCCTCACCAGCAGCCCTCCAGAGGAGAGTCGCCCCCGGGCACGGCCCACGCAATGCTGTGCAGCCAAGGACATGGTAGCCGGGCAGCGGGGGCAAGACTCCGCCCTTGCACCCCATCGCGCGCAGATAATGCTGCAGGGTACGGGTGGAGGGCATGGCCACCATGGCGCTGCTGGGCTGCCTGGGTGATCTGTGGCAGGCCATGGAGGTGATGGGTGGTCCAGCGGGCACGACGGAGCGGGGACAGGGGTGGTTGGTTTTGGGGCACTCGGTCTCTAAAAGGTTCGCCATCACTGGCTTAGATCTTCATGATTTAAGCTTCTTTTTCTGCATCCCATGAAAAGATGTCAGCTCCCCTCAGCCAGCAGCTCTTTCAGTAAGTCCCCAAAGATTGAGAGGGAGTCCTCTCAGCAGGCAGTAGCAGACTTCCTGGGGAAGCCAACACAGTAGATTGCAAATGACAATCACATGATCACAGGGCACTAGACAACTGGTTGTAACAACTCACTTAATGACTGCATTGCTTTGTGACAGAAGTTCCAATTCAAACTGTAGTTGTGAATGACTTCCTATACAAAGAAATGTTATCTACATGCAAAAACCATAATTTCTGGATTCCTATGTTTTCCAGTCTAACCGTAATCCTAATTGGAAGTCGCACACAGAACAGGACTGTTTATATAGTTCTTGATAAGGCCTGTACAGGTGCCATCCTATCTAATATAGGTAAACTTGGCCACTTATTCAAGAGTAGCAGGAACTCAGTTCTAAGCTTTATAATGTTATTTATAAAAATAAATCCAATTCCACCAAACTTTTTTTTTTCAACTGTGACAGTTTTATTGGAATCCTATGGGAAAAAAAAATTAAAAACAGCTTACATGTTGGGACTACAGGTGGTGGAACAGGTGGCGGAACAGGTGGAGGCATGAAACCTAGAAGAAACAAAGAATAAATATTAATAAACAAATCTATTAAAGTTTATGAAAAATAACAAGAGCTAAATTCTTAACTGAATTATAAATATGTTCAAGCATTCATTATCTGATTCAAGAAAGTGTTGTAATTAAATGGACACATACAGATATATATATGGAAATAAGATCCACTGAATTAAACAAGGTTTACTGCCACTTCACTGTGCAAATAGATGACTACAGATTAAATTAATATTTTAAAAATAGGTAGAGTCATAGATTCATAAAGTTGAAGGACTCCTTAAGCCACTGAAGCCAAGTCCTTGTTCACAATTTTGGGCCCTGCTTTGCAAAGAGGGAACCAAAGCTTTTCTGGCTAATTATGCAAAATTCTCAGCAAATGTAAACTTAAGAGAAATAAATAACAATGCCAATACACTTTTATGTTTATGTTATAGAATGGAAAGATAACTTTACCAGGTGGTGGTTGTGAAGGATTAAAGCTTGCTCTCAAGAATGGAGGTGGAGGAATTCCACTGTAACCAGGTGGAGGGACAGACATTGTAACAGGAAATGCAGGTGGAACTAAATTAACAGTCGGCACAGTTGGCGCTACAGGCATCTGTTATAATGAGAAAAATAGATCCTGGTGATCTTTAATCCATACATATTTATGAAAGAAAATTTTAAAATTGCACCCCTGTAAATTGGCCTCTTTGGGCTATTCTGCTGTTGGATTTCAGCTTTAGAATGAAGGAGGTACCCTGGGAGCCCCAAAATAAGGACTTTTATAGCTTGCAAGTTATCACAGAAAAGCATATAGCAGGGGTCTTCAAACTTGGCCCTTTTATGACTTGTGGATTGCTGAGGAGTTCTGGGAGTTGAAGTCCACAAGTCATAAAAGGGCCAAGTTTGAAGACGCCTGGCATATAGGAAGAGCAATGTAGGATTACTTCTGTCTTTTCAATGTAGAAGCAGTTCAGACTCGGTGTTTTAATAGTTGACCAACAAATGAACTTCTAGAAAGTCCAGATGACTACTTTTCATTTTTCTTTCCAAATTCTCTCTCTCCTATCAGTAAACTGAACACTTGTCAGTTAATTTTCCCAAAATAATTCCAGGTCAATTTAAATATTATTACATTTTATTTATTGCATTTTTTAAACTGTTCATTTCCTTCACAGGGTGATTTACTATAGGGAAGAAAATCATTCCCAGAGTTGTGCTGCCTCTTACTTTTGCTTATTGAGGTAATTTTTTACTACGTACTTATTGGGAGCCTCCTTAGGAAGCAACCAACATGAGATGTTCCTGAGATGTCTCAGTGGAATTCTTTGTTCTATGGGTGAAACCAACACATTTTCTGTTTTGTGCATACTTAACTTTAGAGAGTTTTTCACAATAAAAGGGAAAAAATTGTGTTAACAAGTTGCAGAAGGTACGGGAAGATATGATATGCATCTGACACAAAAGTAGAGTTATCAATCGAATCAATAATCTGAATGTCCTTTACTACTGGAAGAAAAGTGTGAACAGAAAATGGAATGCAATACTAACCTGTAACATAGTGACAGATTGTTTATACGTTTCTGCCTGTGTTGTGACAACTGTGGTTTTGTCAACAGTTGCACTCTGGGTTATCTGCACACTCTCTTTTACAGTCTCTGAAGTCCTTGTAGTTTCCCATTCTAAAGAAACAACAACTGATCAGTGTTTTGAAAAGCGTATTAGAAGAAAACAAGCATTTGCTTCACTAGCTATGATACCTACATTTTCACAATGAGTGGAGATTGAAAAATATATTTTAAAAAACTATTTGAATGGCACATTCCTAGATTGTTTTATGTAGAACAAGAGGGGGGTGTTGGGGGGGGTGTGAGGGGGTATTTTGTGGTTCTTGAAATTTACAACCTTGGATTAATGTTTGCTCCGTTTCTAACAGTGTAACAGAATAGTTTCTAACAGTGTTACAGCTTATACTAGGAGCATGCTAAAAAAATCAGGCTAGGGCTTATTTTCTGGGTGGGTCTTATTTTGGGAGAAACACAACATTATTAGATATGTACAATATTTGAATCTAAAGCACCTCTGGGAGATTTCGATCTGAGTATTTCATAATATATTTTTGTCCTATTTTTCTTTTCTTTGTATGCTTTTCCTATTTCTTTCTATGTATCAAATTAAACCAAACCACACATTTTTTTTGGCAAAACATTATTTTGTAAGTAGCAATTGATTTTTCCTATTTACAAATTCTCTACAATTTTGGTCTAAGGATATATCTACATTAAATCTTAAATATTATATTACATGAGATTTATTTAATTAATAAATAAATTTCCTTTGGAAATGAAATAAATAATTAGTAAATAAGTTTATTTACTAAATAAGTAAGTAAGTTTATTTAAATAAATAATTTCCACATTTCCTTTGGAAACTAGCATATATCCTAGTTGAAGACAGAAATTTTCTAGAGATGTCACAAATTGGAACTCTGTGATTCAGCTTCATTGCCAACAGTCAGCCTATCTTTTACATAGCCTGAGAGGAACAACATTTGGAGTGCATATTTAGATTATTGGAAACACATTTCTCTGGAACAAAATATGAAAAAATGAAAATAAAGTTTTAATTACAAAGTATTTTAAATTGTCCTTACCACTATTTACTGTTTCCTGGTCAATCATGCCTCCTTCTGCAAAGCCATCTAAATCATCCACCTTAACTTTTTCCCAGGGTATATATGATACTCCAAGATCCACATCCCAAAACTGTTTGTATTCAGTTTTCACTCCTTTGTTTAAAGCCCATGCAATCTGAAAATAAAGCAAATTCAGTGGTGTTGGAAACAAAAATACAATAATCTCTACAAGGCATCATAGCATTCTGTTTATTTTTACAGTTTGATCAACAATTCATTTGTTGAACAAGACATACTTGCAAAACAGAAAAATGCAGTGTCCAAATACGTTGTAATGATATCTTTTGACATTAAAAGATTATTTCCTCATCATGAAATTTCCTTCTTTTTATAGGAAAAGAGATATCAAAGTCATGTAGCACAGAAAAACATAGACGATGTGTTGATCTATAAAGAATCTTCCTGTGCTTGTCTTAAATTCTTCCAATATGTCAGCTTTTTCTGATATAAATGCATCAGTAAAGAATTTTAAAGTTCTCAGTCCCAAAGAATATGGACATTATTCATCCCAATGTCAGGCTTACTGTTCATCCTAAACTTCTAATTATGTTCTACTATTTTACAGGACAGTTTTTTTCCCTTCTAATAATCAGATAATAAATATTTTGAACTCATTTTAATTTTTTCCTTTTCTATTTTTGGATAATATTTCCATTTAATTGGAATCATTAAAATGTGTTCTTCAGATGAATTCTTTAACACACATACGTTAAATTTGGGCCGACCGGGTACATCATAAAAAAACACTTACATATACATATGTATGTATGTATGTATGTATGTATGTATGTATGTATGTATGTATGTATGTAGGAAGGAATCTATATATAGATTATAGAATATAGTCTAGAAACATATTTATTATATTTATATCCTGCCACAATCCCCTAAGAGAGAGAAAAGTAGGAATGCTTTGTGTTTCTTATTGCTCTGGAATAAGCTTGAACTTGGACAGCTAGTTGTGCTTTGTTTGTTTCACTATTCATCTTTCACCTATGCTCCAGGTATCATTCCTGCTGCTTCATCTTCCAGAGGACCACTAAAAACCAAGAGGTTGCCTGGATCAGCCAGTGGACTGAGGCCATTCAGGAGCAAAAGTCTGAGTCATTTCTTGCAAGTGGTGAAGTAGGCAGTTAATTGATGGATTCACCAATCTAGCAGACAAGCCAAATGGACCTGACCCTATGGGTAACACAGGCTGCTGATTTAACTATAACAAAGGGGTAATGGTAATACCTTCCATATCCTTCAGATCATAAGACAATTGCTCTAAAGCAAAAATTAGACCTAATTCATGCCCACCTATGTATGCAGATCTTCATGAAACTCCTAGGGTTTCCCAGCATTCATTGTATGGAGGTTAAGATCCCCCAATACCCATAGGGAGGAAACTCAATCTTCAACCCAACAACCAGGCCCAGGAAACTTGGGAAAGATCCAGATAGACAGCAGAGCCACTGGTATAGCAACAGTACCCCTAGTTTGTCCTTAGGCCCAACTTAACATCCTGCAACATTCAAAATAATGATCCTGGTCACAGATAAGGTCTTATAATATATCAACATCACCCTATCTCCCTGACCCTGGTATTCAGACTGGGGAAGGACCCAAAACCTGATTGGGCAAATTTTTGAAAGAAGGATATTGCTCCTTTTATGCAGTTAGGCATGAGTAACACACATCAGATCTACTTGTCTGTCCATCACCAAATCATGAATTGACACTGCTTTATTATAGACAGATCTGCTATTTACCAGGAACACTATGAGGCTAGATACTCTGAAAATATGACCACGAGGTCCCCAGCACGGAGCTACTGGACTGGAAAAAAAGAGATCACCACAAATCATCTGTTCCCTGAAATAATCAACCCAATGCCTTCCGCCATATTTCCCCTAGATGAAAACATTGGTACTTGCCATATGTATTCTGTACTCTTCCCATTCAACCATCCTGTTCATCTAAGGCAGGGGTCCCCAACCCCCGGTCCGTGGACCAGTACCGGGACGCAGCATGCCAACAACCAGTACCGGGCCTCCGCACAAACAAAGCCCCATCCATGGAATGCAGGCAGCACTCAAAACCACGTACTCTCTGGTCTGTGGAAAAACCTTTCTCCACGGAATCGCTCCCTGGTGCCCAAAAGGTTGGGGACCTCTGATCTAAGGCAAGCATTGATTTTATCCCAATTCTCACTAACCATCTTTCTTACCCAACCTATGCTTGAAGTTAACAATCTGGTGAATCACTCAGCCCACCTCTTTGCCAAATCCTACTTACATGACACTCAATACATCCTAATTTCCAATAATGTCCAACACATTTAACTCCCTTCTACGTGATTTGTAAATAAGTACAGTAGACAGAGACTTTTCCATTGGTCTGGATATTACTTCTTCACCTCCTGGTGCACATTCTTCTATTACTATTACTTAGGTTTATGTTCCACCATTCTTGCAAACTGATCATCCTATTATAACGACCATATGAAATAGGATGAGAAACACAGTGACTTGCTCAAGTCAGCCAGTGAGTTTCTATGGCTCAGCATGGATTTGAATCTTGCTATCCCCAGTTCTAGTCCAAACTCTTAAGCACTGACAGTGGCTTTCCTTCATTATATACAAAAGCACATGATTATGACAATAAACTACAATTCATACTACAGATAAGCAGGACCACTGAAACTGTACCTTAATAATTTTAGATCCAATTTTGTAAGATCCAGAGCTTAATTTCTGAAGAGCACGATAAGCATCTTGCCTATGAACCATACAGACATATGCACAACCTCTGGGAGGGATCATCTATAAAATAAAAACAAAACAAAGGAACAAGTAAAATTAAAACAGAAATTAATAACTGAGTTTCAGAAAAATCTCTTACAATAATGAATACTAGCAATCCCAATTTATATTTATTTTTATATTTTTTTATGTCATACCCCATGCCATTCTAAATGATTTCCTGAAATTCAGGTGAAATGTTTTAAGAGGCACAAATGGAGTAACAAAAATATCTTATGTGAACGTAATTTATATTTCTCTGGATCCAGTCACACAACCTCTAGGTACTTTTATTTTAAAGTAAATAATGTAAAATTTCCTCTTAGGTAAATTAAACAATTTATGAAAACTCAAAATTACCATTCTTTTTAAAAATTACAGATTATTTTACTTACATTTATAGATTCTATTTGTCCAAATTCTTCAAATAAATTGGTTAAATCTTGCTGGGTGGCCTTCTTGTCCACTTGACCAACCCAAAGCGTGGTACTGCAGACTGCCACAACAAATTATAATGGCAAAGGTTTATATTTTATTCATATCATTTGACATTTATCATCACTACAATCTTTTACTGTCACAGAGTGAAAGATAAGCTGAAACAATTTACAACTTGCCTATATGTAGAAATCAATACAATTATTTAATTTAAATCAGTGAAAATGGAAAACTGTCTTCCAAGAAGTGAATAGCAGGATAGCAAAATCCTGAAACACTCACTTTTTATGAAAGCTACATATAAATAAGAATATTTTAATATACATTAAAAAGGAGAGACATGGTGAGAATATAGAAATCTTGTGGATTTGGTTATTTCTAATGCAGTGATTAACAAAGGAATCAAAATCAATACTCGAACAGAAGTATGTTTGAAATAGCAGGTGATGCCATGAAAGAGGGAGTAGCAATCTTTAATTTCTCCTTCCTCTTAGAAACCAATTTATTATCTTCCAAACTTTTCTTGAAGTTCCTGCAACAAGTTATGGAGAGAACAATACAGCTCCTGTCCCCGCGTTACAAGAAAAAATGGCAAAAAATATTTATAAGAATATGGGAAGTTATAGTGGACATACCACTGAATATTTATGAATAATTTCTTTAGCTTTTTGCAATATATTTTAAGAAATGTTTTAAAAATGCTTTCATTAACATTAGTTAAATGTATCTTAACAATACACCCAATTTATTGGATTATTACAATAAAAACAACATATGTTTGTATCAAATCTTGCATAAATTTTATACCATGCACATATTATTAAAATATTAATTCTGTGCAGACAGATTAACAAAATGGATAAAAATGGACAACTAATCACGGAAAATTTTAAATTTGAGCTGAATATTTCTTCCACAATAAACATCACATGGACAACCCAAGTCCCAGAAATATCAAACAACTCTTAATTCTGGGTTGACACTGAAACCCAGGAAATCTCACTAAATTTAACCATACTATTTAGCACAGTGCACATCAGCTGGGGTTACAGGAACCAAAACTATCCTTGATAATCAGTGAAGGAAGGTTTTAAGATCCTGTCTCCAGGAGACTCATGAAGACATGGTTTCTAAAGATATGATTGTCATTTTCTTCTCACAGTTACTGGCAAAGAAATAACAATCCTGATGTCATGTGTCTGATTAACGAAACACTTAAAAGGACTTTCAGGCATATTTTTATCCTAAAAGCATTTATTAAGGTTACAGAGATGTCAGTACGGCATGGTGGAAATGCTTAGATCTGAGATTCTTTTCCGTTGCACCTACATTCCAGGCATTTTTCCCTCCCCTATTTTGGGGTCATGGTTCATATCTTCCAATTAACTTGGAAGATGTGATTTACTTCCGGTTCCTTATTCTCCTCCCCTTTCACTGTTGCCTGATTTAACTATAAAAATACCAGACAGTTCTGCATATTGTCAAAGCAAGAATATACAATATTTGCAGCGTTGACACCTGATTTAGATATCTATAAGTGAGGGGAGATTTGCTAACAATCCCGATTGCAATTGGTGTTTGCAATTTCTTTCTACAGAATTGCATCTCTTTTGTGGGCTGGGAGGAATGAAAGCAAGTTATATTATGGAGACAGATCCCTCCTATACTCCCTCAAATATTATGGCACTGTCTGCAAATGATCTTTAAAGTAAGTAATAATAGTAATAGTTCTGCTTCTCCAGTTTCTCCCTGATTTATAGATTCTAGAGAGTGTTATACAGAAGTCAAACTATTCTGCCTACTACAAAGGATCATGCTGAAATTTACCCATTTAAGGAGTGGTAATGCAATTTTAATGAAAGAAAATATAGACACTGAGAATCTTGGACCAAAATGAAAATGTACTACAAACATTTCAGAAAATACCCAAACAAACATACATACCACTTAGTGTTTTTGATCGGACAGGAGGTAATCCTTTTTTCTGTCTTTCTTTTTCCCTTTCTCTAGCTCTTCTTTCACTTGAGTATGATCTTGATGACTTCCTCTTTCTTTCTCTTGACCTAGAACGCGAGCGCTTTCTGTGTTTACGCTTTCGAGAACCAGACCGTGATCTTGACCTTCTTTTTCTTGGTGACCTATAAAATAATCAATTAAATTATGTTAATATAAAGCATAATAGTCATAAGACAATTCAGAAACAAAATATGGGTTTTAAGCAGGAAGACAAATATCTTTGTAATAAAGTTACAAAAACCTTGAACGTGATCTTGAGCGTGTTCGTGATCTTGAAAGAACTGCTGGCTTCTTTTCTTCTTGCTCAAAGACTTCTTGTTCTACAATCTCCTGGGCTTCATCTATATCCATGTCCTAAATAGGGAGCAAGTGAGATGCCAACATATTGGAAAATATATTCATTCTTATCTATATTTGTTTATGGAGATTTTTTTTTCATATATTCCTGAATATATCAGTTTATATCTAGGAAAATTGTCTTACTCAATGTATCTTAATGTGCCCTTATTGTCCTCATGGACAGAGTATCCTGCTCTCCAACAAATTATATTATGACATCAAAACTAATGTTAATATTTACATTCCCAGTATACAGCCATCCGTGAGATTATAGATAGGATAGTGTTTATTTTACAATTTTGAGATCTACTGAATTCATAATTTAAATAGAAATACTAAATTTTACCTGTTGTTGAACATCCATTGAATTGTCAAGCTTTGTTTCCACTTCTAAAAACTGTTGGTGACTGCTGTCTTGAGAAGGTGATGCTGAATGCTCAGAACCAAAATTTTCTTCTTGAGTTTCCTCAGGGCTGACCTGCAGTGAAGAATGTTTATTTTTTTAGCCTCAAGCTCTGTAATACATGCCTGTCTCTCTCTGTCTACCTATCTATGTACCTACCTCTCTCTCTCCCTGGCTTTCAATAACTAATATATAATTTGTATTATGGAATATGTTTGGAATTTTGGATAATATCAACAAGCAAGCAAACAAGTGTGCAAAATTCAGTCCTTTATTTCAAACCACAGTCCTGGAACTACAGAGATCCTAAGTTCAAATAGATTGTTAGGATTAGAAGTTAAAGTGCAAATATAAGCAAGTGAAGTATAAGCAAGTGTTATACTGAACAAAAAAAGGGGGGAGAAGAAGGAAAAGGAAGCTATAATGCTGAGGGGAATTCAAGATGGCAAAACAAATATACTTTTTTAAAAAAATTCTAAAGTCGTTTCAAAAATTTAGAAACCTAAAGCCATGCAGTTAGTTTAGAAATTTAAAAAATGCAATATTTCCCAAAATAAAAAAAATAGTATACCTTTGGTGGCTGCTGATCTAGAAGCTGCTGCCGAAGATGTTCTAAGTTTTGTTGCTGTAGTTGTTCAGCTAGCTGATGAAAAAGTGAATTGTTCACGGATTCAGATACAAGCGGCCTAAAAGACATAATTTAGTAGTTACCCTATTGTTTTTACAGTAACTGTATAAATATATTTAGAATTCATTAAAGAATACAACAGAACTTTGTAGACCAGAATTTGATGTTGTCTTGAAGTATGATGAGAATAGGAAGAGACAAGAAGACAAAAGTTGATCTAATGGGAGTTTTAATGGGATTCAAACATTGTAGTAGATCATATTGCACTTTATGTGGTAGAGGGAACCCAACACACTGTGATTTTTAAACAACAGCTTATAGCTTAATATCTTGAATGAACTCAACTGTTGATTTAAGAAATTATTGTTTATCTTCAATCTCTCTCCCTTCTTCTCCCTTTCTCAGTGTAAGACAACAACTTAAGAATATTTTAGTAAGATTAAAATGTACTGGAAATCTCAAGTAGGGGAAATCTGACCTGCTGAATTTTTTTTTAAAAAACTAAGCAATTTAAAAAAAAATATGATTTCCATAACTTTTCTCCATCATCAGTTAACGTCACAAATACTCCAAAACCATTTTGCATATGTGAAAAGCCCCTGAATTTGGGTAAGCAATTAGAAGTTGGACTTAACTGCAGATTTACTTTGAAAATAAGTTCAAATTAAAATATAAAAAAAGTGTTTCCAATCACAAATTAAGACTTACAATTGAGAAGTTGGAGTTTCCTTTTTGGGCTCTTCATTCAAATCAGCTTCTTCTCCAAAATCTCCAAACCTATCTATCAGCTTCTAGGAGCAAACAAATTATGCATTAAACAAGAAAAGCATTATTTGAAATCTAAGATTCCTATTAGATATATTTTTAATGTTTTAGATATATACATGTTAAGTGTAATAAATAAACTATAACACCCGGATACCAATATATGTACAAAATATTCTTTCTAAAACAGTACCTTACATCTCGCTTATATATATTACCATAGATGTAAAACAACTGCATAAATATAAAATCCAAAATATTTAATTGGGATCACATTGATATACATTATCTATATGTACTCCAAAGACATGACTTGTGTTACTAAAATTAAAAATTATAAGATGGGTTTTGATAAAAAGACAACCATGAAGCACGTAGAACTGCAAGTTTAGTGCCCAATAGAAAACCAAGAATTGCAAAAAGAGGACAAAAAAAATATATCACAGTAATATTGGTCAACTGAGTGTGAAAGAGAAAATTCATATCAGGTACTACATAAATAGAAGTATAGTTATTACTACTATTATTGTATTCATTTAGCTATGGTCAAGATAATACAGAAGCATTGACAAATACAACAAAAACAGTGTATCAGTCTCTTTAATTTTTGTCCCTTTGAGTCAGGTTTTTTTTATTATTATTTATTTCTGGGAACTGCCTAGGCTAGTCCCTGCAGTTTTCTTGGCAAGATTTTGGAGTGGCTTGCCACTGCCTCCTTCCTAGGGCTGAGCGAGAGAATGCTTGACCTAAGTTCACCCAACTGACTTTGTGCCTAAGGTGGAACTAGAACTCAGTTTCCTGGTTTCTAGCCTGGTGCTTTAACCACAACACCAAACTGGTTCTTGTATCAGTCATATACAGCAGCGGTCCACAATCTTTGCAGCTTGGTAGCTCAGCTGGGGTGGGAAAGGGGAACTGGGCCATGCGAGTGGCCGGCCGGTGAGAACAGTGTGTGCCCACCAGCCCGCTGCTTCTGCAAGTTGAGCTGTGCACGTGCATGCTGGCCAGCCACTCGCGCGGCCCAAATCTGAATAGGCCACGGCCCGGTAGTGGGCTGCAGCCCGGGGTTTAGGGACCCCTGGCAGACAGCATATTAAGCTAAGACTTAAAAGAAAAAAAAGATAAAACAAAACATAAAACAATACAAAATACAAAATAAATAAAATAGAAAATTTCATAATGTTACCACTCCATGATTAGAACATTTTTTTATCTTTTTATGGAAACTGCTGTAGATAAGAACTCAGCAACACTACTAGTCAGCAAGTTTTCAATCTGAGATTAGAAATGAACCTTTTTCCTTCATAACCAAGTTGATTTTTGTTAGGTATATAGGTAAATTACCACAGAAAGGGAAATGGAGTATGACTAAGGGTCTCAGGTTCATTCAGTGAATGAAATCCCACTGTACTTCCCATCTAGTACTCTAGAGAAAAAATCTATGAAATGAATCAAACAAAAGGTTCTACACTGTGCAGGATTTAGTATAACTGTAATCTTACGAAAAACTACCTTGTTAAAAGAGACACTCTGTTCTAGTGGATTGAGTGTATTGGCGGCAGCAGCAGCAGCTGTAAGTTGAGCAGTGAGAGCCTGTAGCTGAACGACGAGACCAGCATCCAGTGCTTGAAGCAATGATGGTTGTGGTTTTTGTTGTTGCATCTGCAATGTCTGTATTAACTGCTGAAGCTGAAATGGAGTTGGGAAGAAGATAGTTTTGCTATAAATAAAATCTGAAATTAAGCATAAATTCTAGCACTGCTTTGAAAGATAGGACAAAATATCCCAAATCAAAACTTCAATTTCAAGCACATAATTCCTAATTTTAAATTTTTAAACATTTTTTAAAATATAAGCAATCTTCAATGCAGTTACAAAAGAAACTGGTGTGGACAGGGCAAAAAGCAGCGATATCATTTGCAGTAGAAATCAGTGGCCACATGTTGGATCATGGCTAGCAAATCTCTCCAGAGGAAAAAAAAAGAGAATATATATATATATATGGGGGGTGGGGGTCACAGGACAGGAGGCACTGGGGGATCCTATAGCAAAGTGTACCCAGATACGGCCAAAGCGGGCAAAGAGAGCGACAATAAGAGAGGCGGTGATCCCTGAGCTTACAAGTATACAAATGGATGCGAGACTATTAGAAGCAATACGGTCAATTGGGGCGGGTAGACCGGTGATGCATTCTATGAGCAGAGTGCACAAACTGGCGGTCTTATGAGCAGGCTTTCAAACCTCTGGCATTCCACTCTGACAATGTCGGCAGTTAGCCGACGAAAGCTAAGTTTATTAAACAGTTGTTTTTATATTTATCCCGGTGTTCGGCTACTTTTCTCAACACACACACACACAAAACCAAGATTTTAATGGTCAGTTTATGCTAGTAGCTGGGAGTAAAGGGATTCCATCTAAGCTCACAGTTGAATATAACCTATAATATGGACATAATACTTAGCTGAATCTCATTTCTTAATTCCTTTTGGAATTATTTTTTTTACTGATTTTTAAACATTATTTTTTTCCAGAATGGCCAAATCTTTACTGCATTCACTGGATGAGTCTTCTTCTCCTTAACAAAATTAGTTTCAAGCACAAGTTTAATGATTAAGAAAAAAAATACTTTTTGGAATTAACAGCAAAAAAGTGTTTAGAGCACTGATTTTGGAAAGTTAAAAACAGACTAAAGGTCCAGATAGATTTGAAATAAGATTTTGTAATTAATTATAAGAATCCTTCCCAAGGGAAATTGTTGTTGTTTGGATTCCTTAGGAAAAAAAACATGAAAAAATGGAAGTTTGAAAGCTGAACACTGGAGAGGAGGCTAGAAGAAACTAAAAGTTACAATTAAAGGACAACAAAACCTGAAGTCAACTTGTTAATTCAGAATGGAGCAAAATATTTTCACACTGGATATTTTCAAGGATATTTGTGAACAATGGACTCAGAAGTGAATTTTAAGAATGTCTTGTTATCATAGAAAGATGGTGTATACATTTTACAGAGAGGAACAAGCTCTACTGGCAAGACTGAAATTGATTTGAATGTGGATTTTAAAATGACAAGCTATAAGAATATGGAAAAAGATGATAAACCATATATAGAAATGAAACCCATTGAAGTATTCATAATTTAAAAAAGATATAAAAATAACAAATAAAGTAATGATTGAAATAACTTTTCTGCACTAGATTTACAAGAGAGAATTGTTAAGTTTGAAGGAATTTCGGAGAAGGGATGCAGAAAAAATGAAAAGAAATCAAGTTCTAAAACACTATTTGAAGGGATTAAAAATCAAGGTTGTTAAAGTTACAGGGAAGCAATATGAAGTTGGTTTATTTGATTGGGGTTAAAACAGATACATTATTATCTCTACTAACCCTTTAATGGCCTTTTGCTGACTAGGACTGAATAAAGAGATTTTAAGATTTTGTTTACAGTTAAAAGATAAGCTGGCATTTGTTGTATTTTAAGAGGTGATAAATTACTAAAATTGTTTATACTTGTGATGATGGGGAAGTTACTTATTTATATATTTCCTTTTCCTTTCTATTTTTCTTTCTTTCTTTTTTCCTTTTCTGCATTTTCTATTTTTTCTCTTTATTCTTATATATATATATATATATATTAGTTTGCATTATTTTTTATATTTTCAATGTTATCTTCAAAAAATTAAAATTCTGGCATAAAAGGCATTGGGACAAGTGTTCATATTTAGTATTTATTACTCATTGATATTCATGTTATTTGCTTTAAAAACAGAAATTGCAAACATTTTAAAAATGCAAAACAAATTGAAATTAGTTTTTAACTTTTCAATAGCAATTTAAATTATATGAAGCAGAGAAGCAGAATTATGTATTTCTAGGTGGATAAAAAACCAAAATGGACTTACTACCTGTTGTCCTTGTGGACTTTGAAGGATCTGTGCTACAGCAGCAAGCGTATCTGTATTAGTTATCTGAGATACCCATGGATCAGGTAAACTTTGGATTACATTGGCTGGAGTAGCAGGAGTCACTGGAGTTCCTGAAAAGAAGACAAGCGGTTATCTTTAGATACTGTTGGAAAGAAGTAGTAAACAGCAAGAGATTAATCACATTTGTATTTCATCTAATCCAGTGGTGGCGAACCTATGGCACGGGTGCCAGAGGCGGCACTCAGAGCCCTCTCTGTGGGCACGCGCGCCATCACCCCAGTCCTAGGCCTTCAGTTGGGTTTTATAAAACTTTTTCGCTTTAGGCCTCTGCCGCCGTGTGCAAAAAAAAAAAAAGATTCAATCAATCAATCAATTTCAACTTCTCAAGGGAAAAAAAAGATCTTGCAAAGTTGGAATTGATTGACTGAACTTTTTAGTCCCACCCAGTCTGCCGTTACCACTGCGGCCACGCCCACCCAATGGGCCACACCCACCCGGCACCCAACGATGCATAAGTGGGTTTTGGATTGCAGTTTGGGCACTCAGTGTCTAAAAGGTTCGCCATCACTGATCTAATCCATTCTTAGCCATAGAAAATAACTGGGTGACTTTGGAACAATCATTCTGTCTCAACCCAACCTACTTCACAGGATTTTTTAGGGAAAAACAGCAGGAGTGCTCTGTAAGCACCTGAAACTCTTGAACAAGTTGTGATATAAATAAAATAAATAAATGTCTCCCATCTATTCTTTATCTGAGTCCAATTCAGCTCCTCCTTCATCAATTATTCAATGCATTAATATGAATACCACTGTAACCCACAAACTCCCCATTAGCAAGACACATGAGAACAGAAAAAAAGTGTATAACATTTAGTGCAATAAAGTACCTTGTATCTCAACTCTTGGGTGACTAGGGTGCTAGTTCAAACTACTTCTCTTCCTAAATTCAGTGAGCTTATCAAGTCTAACTTTTGGTGACCAGACATTACGTCACAGTAAGTCCACCTACTCTTCTTGGTTGCAGGAGTTAACAGTGAACAGAAAAGCAATAAAATATAGCAGTATTCCCAGGGTGGATCAGCACTCTACATGACCCAAAGGAGATCAAAGCCCACTTCTGAAAGGCAACTTTACCTATTTCATAATATTTTTAAGGTAGATAGCTTTATCCCAGATTCATCTTACAAATGTCTATTATTGGTACTCCTACTATTAAAGATTGCCAACATAAGTCATTTTTACACAGAATGCTGTGAAGCATGATTCTGTGTTTGCTGTGAACAACAGGACAAAGCATTATCCAAGTCATGTGTCAATTCTGGAACAGAAAGTTATTTTCTCTGATTCTCTATTTATAGAAAACAAACTATTTACCTCTTCAGTTTGAGTTTGAAGTGGACCTTCAGAGCCCTGTGTACATCTTGTTTGAGCCATGTGCTGTCAGTTGGCAAGAATATTCTCTCCTGTGCTTGTTGGAATTTTGAATAACTTAAGAGTTCAAAATGTATATCTGGCCTAGAAACATCTTGTTTTTATGGAATATGTATAGATCTTCTAACTGAGAGCTCCTATCTTCCAAGCCAAGGCTAAGTTCCATATAACAAAAATGGGTGGAATTTGTTTAATGAGTCTGAGGAGGGTAATCATCAAGATTTGATATTCAATGTTGTCCAATATAAGAAAAAGGTGATCTAAAAGCAGTGCCTTGACTTATTCTGAAGAAATAGCAATAGCATTTAGACTTATATACCGTTTCATCATGCTTTACAGCCCTCTTTAAGCAGTTTACAAAGTCAACATATTGCCCCTAACAATCTGGGTCCTCATTTTAACGACCTCAGAAGTATGGAAGACTGAGTCAACATTGAGCAGGTGAGACTCGAACTGCAGAATTACTGGCAGTCAGTAAAAGTATCCTGCAATACTGCTTTCTAACCACTAAGCCGCCACGGCTCAATGAACATAAAGTGGTTTCCTATGAGTGCAGTCCAATCACTGTTAAACCCTTCTTCAATTTGGTGAGTCTCAACATATTGCGTGATAGTATGTGCTCTGGTTTCAAAATATGGGCTTGATATCAACAATGTATAACACATTATCATCATATTGTTATAAAATATTTTATATATAAAAAGCTATAGTATTATTTAGAGAGCATAAGCCTGTCATTTAAATTTGCGTCTTTCATGTTGTAGAATATGCTGACCCCTAATGGCTAATGTGCAAATATGTTATTTTCCTGGAAAAATAAAGTTCTTAACAATGGCACTTTTAACTTGAAAATGATGTTGAATTTAATCATCTTCATTAGACATGTACGTATATGTCTTAACTCTCGACTCTTCTGGCTGAAATTGAACAATAGTCTATTTTTCTGCCAATAGAAATTTCACAAGCAAATATTGACCAATTTAATTATTCAGTTCATTCAAATCCTTATAGAAAAAAAAATATTTTTTTCATTTCCTTCTCATGGTTATGGTGCACCTAATATATTTCAAAAGATCAGAAATAAAATATAAAAAAGCTATAAAATATAAAAAATACAATAAGTCCCTGCCCAAAGAAACCCAGAAATCTGAGTATATGTTTATTATTCATATCAGGAAAGAATACATTTTAAGGAAAAATATATACATATCAGGAAAGAATGTAACTGAAAAAAGTAATGCAACAAAAATCAATTACTCTTGCAAATTTAAATCTTAAAAGATGTAACAAAGGGAAAGTTGTCATGGATGTAAAACAAAAGGATAATGTTGGGTTCTTGTTACCTGGTGTATTATTACTCAAAGTAGCAGTTGTCCCTGGCAAAACAGGAGTAACAACTGGAGGAGGAATTCCTGCTGCCATATCCAATAGAGGCTGAATAATTTCACTTTTGAACACATTATTCTTCTGCCACAAATTGAGCACTCTAACAATTTTACTCTAGGGAAGAAAGAGATGACATTTTAGACTTTACATTATCAAATCCCTATTCCAAGTTAAACAGCTTTTAAAATAAAACTACTGAGACTATGTTTAATATTCCTTATCATGGTTACAAGGGTCAGGAATGTGTTGTGGATTTTAGTGCCCTTTTTATATTAGGACTGGAAATCATGAAACTTCTCCAGTTTTAGAGAATAAAAAATAAGTCTATGTCAGCGGTCCCCAACCTTTACAGCTTGGCGGCCTGGCGGGGGGGAGAGAGGGGAACTGGCCCCCACTCGCAAAAGTAGAGCTATGCGTGTGCTCCAGCCAGCCACTCACACGGCCCAGATCCAAACAGGCCACAGCCTAATAGTGGGCCGCGGCCTGGGGGTTGAGGACCCCTGGTCTATGTGACACAATTAACATATGTTCAATTTGGATTAGATTTTCTCATTTCATTCCTACAAATCCACTGAATGATTCTAGTGATTCTATTATGAATCTAGTATATCTAGTGATTCAGATTCTGAATCTTCTAGCAGTGGCCACAAATTCTTAAAAAGTAAGAACAGAAAAGAATTCTATTATTGAAAATGAAAGGTTAATGTCCCCTTCCTCTGCAGCTACTTGTACACCTATTAAAATAGTTGGGGGTTAGGGGGGTTAGGGAAGAAAAGAAATTCTACTGCCTGAGTGAATTTAGTTTATGGGTTCCTAGATTACATCCAATGTAAATCTCTTTAGTTTAGTATTCTATTTAAACTGTTATTTAAATCCCTAAGACAGTGATGGTGAACCTTTAAGAGACCGAGTGCCCAAAAACTGGCCCCCTGCCCTGCCACACCCTGCCTGCCCGCAGGGCTACTCACCACCTCCAGGGCCCACCACAGATCGCCCAGGCAGTCCAGCAGCGCCATGGCGGCCACGGCCTCTGCCCACGCCCTGAAGCATCAACTGTGTGCGTTGGGGCCTGAGGGCAGAGTCTTGTCTACGCTGCCTGGCTGCCATGTCCTTGGCTGCGCTGCTCCGCGTAGGCCACACTCGGGGCAACTCTCCTCCAGGAAAGCTGCTGGTGAGGAGGGGGTCACGGGCGGAGGCAAGGCTGGGGCAATGGCATGTGTGCCCACAGAGAGGGCTCCGAGTGCCACCTCTGGCACCCGTGCCATAGGTTCGCCACCACTGCCCTAAGAACTTTAGAAACTCCTTTTCTCAATTTTATAGAGCTTAGCTCATTTATATACATAATGTATAGGCACTGTTATGCTTAATTTTATATATATTCTAGAAGAATATTATTATTGTATAACCTTCCTATGAATATATTATGCAATGTTTATTATACAATACCTGTGCAGATTAAAATCAGCATTACGTCTGCTAGAGCCAGAGTCTATCTATGCTTTTGATTTCATTATGGGGTTCAAAAATATGGCTGACATGCTATATGTTGAAATGATAATCAAGTACCAATAAACAATTACATTCTTTTCCTTCTATAATTCACTACCCAATAAAATTATGTTCCTTTCATTTGTTCTACACATCAAAAATAGTACTAAAAATATTGGAAAATGTTGATTGATATAATCTTAATTTTTCCAAAATAAACAGACATTTGCCTGTATGAAGTACCAACCTGAAAATTAATTACTGAAAAGCAAGGAAGTTGTATTTCTCAAGGAAAACAGAATACTGCAAGTTAATAGTAGATAAATGTGTGTGTCCTTTGAAAAGAGTGAAAATGGAAAAAATTTAAAACATACAAATGACGGTAGAAAGATAGCAAGTAGTATCTGAACTGCTGCAAAAAAATTGATTCTTTCCAAAACAAATAAAAATGACTGGGTTAAAGAATGTGTTTATGCCAAAAGTACTTTATTATATTGGATTGAGAATTGAATATGTCAAGGAAAAATAAAAGCTGAATATAATGGGACCAGATTCCTTAGGAAGGGTATGTGGTATAACCATAAAAAGATTATCATTCAATGAGTAGTGAATTAATATGGACTGAATACAAAAGGCAGTGACCATTATGAAAATACATTGAGATGGTTTGGTCATACAGAAAGAATTAATGAGATTGAAATTGTAAAATTAATATATGTTGGATGATGTTATATAGTAAAAGAAAGGTGAAGAAAGTTATGACTATAATAAATTGATGTTCTTAAGAGAGAAATGAGAAATTTAAAAAAATGAAAAGCAATATATGAAACATGACAAAGTACAGCAGTGAATGGTTTAGCTACATCTACTTTTCTTTTTTTTTAATCTCATGGGGGGGGGTTGTTGTTGTTGGGGTTTTTTTGGGGGGTTAATATTTTCTGCTCTTTTTCAGTATTCTGCATAACTGTTTACCCCAAAAGGGAATACAGTGAGGGTATGTGCAGTATTTTCTTCCCTACTCACAAACAGTATTATCTATTACTCAGGAACATTGTCAAGTAAAAAAAAAAAAGCATAAAAGTTTTGTAAACATTATATTTTTAACATAAATTGAACATTAATAAATTGTTTATTGGGGAAAGAGTGAAATGTAGAAGAATCCATACCTTATCATCCCCAGGGCAACGATATAAATTCTGGAAAGTGCTAATGATGTTATTGCTAAACCGAGGAGCAAAGACATCCTTTTCTTGTCCAAACTGATGCCGAGACTGCCGTACAATCGAGTCAATGACATATAAGCCAGGCACCTTGTATTCTGGTTTACACTACATAGAAATACAATAAGAATATAAATTTCCTATAAGATTTATTAGCTAGCAAATCTGTAGAAACTATGAATGCTCTTTTTTACAGTATGGTATTGTTTTATATTAAAATGTGCCATTCATATAGTATGCTATAATCATTTGTAACATTTCATTGTTGGAAAATTTCAATTACTTAAATTTCATTTATATAAAGGTAATAATAGTAGATAATTTTAGGGAAATGTACCTTCATTTTGATGTTAACAGTTGGAATATTCTAAGTTTTTTGAACTATTTAGATAATAACACAGCTAGTACTGGGGAACACTGCAATTTGTCAGAGGCATGACTTTACTAAGATGTACTCTATGCAGCAGTTATGCCACCAGCTGGTATTATGAGGAGGGGGGTAAAATTAAGATAAAGCTCCATACCAGAGGGGAGGCTTGTTCCCTGGAAGAGGTGAAACATTTGTGATGTTCCCCTTGTCTTATCAGTTTAAAGCCCAAGCACTGAAAGTGAAAGTCAGAGTCCACAGCAGAAAGGGGTAGAACCTAGTATGGTAATGTTCACTGTCACTCACAGAGATCTATTGTATGGGAGCATTTCAAATTTGCATAAGACCTATGATATGCTAACTGCACCTCTACTCACTTGAAGTAAGTCCCCCTGCAACTGATACTTTAGCTTGGACACTGTGTTTTTGGATCAATGTGCACCATAATTTACCCTCAGACAAATTATCTAATGTTATTATTAAAGAAGATATGTCAATATTTGGCAGAAGTAACTTAACCTTAAAGTTAACTTAATCAGACTCAATATCATCTATGAAGGTATGATTGTATGGAAACAAAAAGACAAATTAGAAAATGATTGCTGGATACCAATTTTATATAAGGTCAATTCATAAACGTCCTTCTGGAACTGAGATCATATCTTTGTGTGATGGGAATAATTGAAACTGTACAATATGTATTGACAAAGAGGGCCAATATCAAAAATCACACCATCATGTGTAGTTTGTTAGTATTAACTGTGTTGCTCACAATTTGCTCACATAGAATGACACTGGGTTGGACAGTACAAGCAACAAGACTATTGTCTCCAGGCTTGGACATTGCCACCTGTGCTCTTTAAAAAAATGCAGTAAGACTACTAGGCAATCTCCTATGGACCATAAATGTCAACAAATGTCAAGCCAATGCCAGGCTGAGGTTAATCTATTCTGATTCCTTTGAATGTTCTCATTCTATGGAACATTGTTTAGTTATTGTTCAAGTCGGTAGATGGTCTGCAAATGGCTGCACATGGCAAGATGTTCAAATATGTGTTCTCAACCTCTGGTAGAGCTGTTATTTAGTGCTGAGACAGCCATCTGAGGCAATCTGTGCTCTTATTTTGTTACTCTCAAAATATATGGGTAAATACCAAACTGAATTCAAATAATATCCATACAATAGATAAAACCCTTTATCATAAGCAAACAGTTATGCATTCTAGTTTTTGTGATCTAAGGGACTCACTGATTGGAAAGCAATCCATGTAAAGGAAGCAATAGTGGACTGAATCATAGTGGACTTTTGTTCTGATTTCCAAACAAGAAATAACTCTTATTTGATCCTTGCCCTTACAACTGCTCCACAGAGGAAAAATACCTACTGTACTCCATCAGATTGTAAATTGTGATAATATATCCATAATAATATAACATTAATATCTTTAATACATTTATCTATATTTAAATATCTAGATTCCTGAGTATTTAAATTACTAAAATATTTTTTGTTTGGTGACTTACCTTTTGAATGAATTTCTCAACACTCTGCACAACATGTTTGTAGAACTAAAAATAAATATATATAATTTGTTCAATAGGTTTGTTTGTTTATTTATTTATTTATTGTCATTCATTAAACAAATTTATATAGCTTTCCAACTCACATACAGGTTACTCTGGGCGGCTTGCAACATTTATATAGGTTCCATTATATACCATCTTCTTTCTTGTTTTAGCAATTTTCTGATTAACGTACTTTATTTAAAAGCCCCAAATAATTAGAGCCACAGTGAGGCATGCAATTGTTAATATTTAACATGTTTTCAGACAAGTTTCTTTTATGCAGAATTAAGAAAATATCCCAATAAACATAAAAAGTATAAATATTTAGAGGTTCCACATATTAAATGTTAATCAGTATTGACGTTTTTTTAAAAGAGAAATTGAGATAATGAGCAGGATACCCAGGTATTGCACTGTACTAACAAACTACCTGGACCACTTAAAGCTAAGAGGTATTTGTAAACTGTATAATCATTTTCTTACCTTTATGGCCTTGATTGCTGCTTTAGTAATCTGTGTCATTTTAGCCTTTGAAATAGGAGGTTTGTAATCATTCAGTGAGTAAAGCTGAAAGAAAAGAGATGACTGTGAATATAAATGGAAAAAACGCTTAAAATTTATGTAAGAACGTTAGATCCTCCAGTAATATTTTCATCAGATCAAAACTGAGCTTTAATTTATTGCAATCAATCATGTCTATTATTGATTCCAGGTGTGATCTGGCACTTTCATGAAACCCTGGATGATCTTGCATTGAGAGAACAGTATGGATCCCCAATACAAAAATACTAGCATTCTCCAGCTTCTGGAGTAGAGCTATAGAATCTATTAGTTAAGTTTAAAACTGAAAAAAAAAGTAGGAGCTTACCCCTTACCTTAACTCTGTCCCTTAAAAGAGACTGGTTTGGGTAGAAGCAAGGCTAGCAAATTTTTTTGTTGAAACCAAACTTAAAAGTCAAATGTGTAACAGTGAATCAAGGAATCCTTTTCATTTTCACCACATTAGGGACCACACTGCAGTAAAGCCTGAAATCACTGTTCATCTAGATACATTACAACGTGTCAACAATTATTACAGCCCCCCCCTTTCTTCTTTTTCTTTTATTCCCCTCTGGGTTAGTTCTCTCTGCCATTTTTGGTTTTGTTTTATGTTGCTTTATTTTATTTATTTTTTACCATTTTGAAAACTGCCCAAAATTGGGCAACATATACATTTAATTAATATTATAATATAATATAATATAATATAATATAATATAATATAATTAGTATAGTATAGTATTAGTATTAGTATTAGTACAGTACAGTACAGTACAATAAATTTGCATAACACCACTAAAAAGTGTTGTGGTAAGGCTTGGTGTGAGCAAGATACAAATTCAGATGAAGTTATTATAACCATTATCTGAATCTACAATTCATCATTGATTTACTTAGCATGACATTCATACATCAGGAAAAAGTTAACCATGTATTTTAAAGAAAGGAAAATCAGAAATGATGGTCAGCCATCTTAAAGATGATTATGATACTGTCCAAACTGGAGAGTTATCAATTATTATCATGATCAATAGCTGATCATAATTGGATGTGCTACCTGAAACTTAACAGATGAAGAAGATTTACTGATGCATAGCAAGGAGCCAGTCTCACTCTTTCATTGAAACCAGTATTTGCCTGCCTGTTTGCTTCTTGAGATTTTCACTCTTATGCCCCTTTCTACCTGAGTTTCACAGTTCCTGGGTGTGAGTATTCCCCTATGAAAAAGTTCTATCTAGTCAAGTGTTTTATTGCCACTATGTATTCTTAAATGGAAAGATGCCACCTCACTGGGGGGTGGGATAGGAAAATTCAGAGCACAATCAGAAACTCACAAATTCACATATTTAAGATGTTAAATAGCTAGACCAAGTTTTCCCATGTTCAATGAAGTTTAAATAAAAGAAGACCATATGTACTATTCTTAAAAACAGGAAATATTCTGGACACAACTCCTGAGCACACCAACACAGGTTCATATATTCTTACACTGTTCAATGTTATCCACTTTTCCTAGTCCATACATGAGCAATATAACGCCTTTGGCACCATAGTACCCAGCATCCCTAAATACCACCAATGAAACAATAATGAAGCCAAATTGTCCAAGCTTTCAGGGCTTTTGCATGAGAGCTTGCATATATATATGTGGGGGGGGGGGAGAATCTCAGCTCTTTACAAGCCTCAAGCAGATCTGCTAGTTAAAATGATTGCCAATCCTTATCTTACTTCCTATTCCACTTAAATACAATAGTACTATGCATCTAAATCTAAGTGCTATTTCCCACTCTCTGCCCAATATTTTTCATGTATTAAAAATACTGAAAAACTATTTCTGATTTATGCAAATCTCAAAGCAAATGGATTACAACAATAGAAATTTATAAAATAATAAACTCAGTAGTTGCAAATACTAATATTAGTCTTGAAAAATGTTTATACAATAGTTGAATCATAGCTATAAATTCAATCAACCTGCCCCAAAGAGCAATATTGAAATTAATAATTAGTGGTTATTATAAACTTGTGGATCTAGTGAGAGTTTTTCTTCCATATAAAAGTCATCTCCTCTTACTCCTGCCAACTGACTTCAAATAAAGTGTAATGGGCAAGGGTCCAGATGGCAAATGGTAGTGTAAACTTCTACAAGCATCACAATCATATCCTCAAGGTTGTAAAAAATGAAATAGATTCTATACAACTGTCCTAGATTATATTAAATATTTTAATTAAAATTGAAACAAAATTATGTAGAACAACACATTTCAAAATGTTGTGCACATTTGTTGCAGAAAGCACTTGAGAGTTGCAAGATGTTTTCCAGAGTAGATGACAACAAAAGCTGCACTGGACAAAAACACTGAACATGTACTAAGAGAGCAAAATAACATTTCTTTGCTACACTGACCCTTGTGGGAGTGGATAACTGTGAACCCTTGCTATTTGCTTGATTTTTCTATGCCAGGGATGTCAAACTACCAGCCCCTGGGCCAGATGCATCATAGCGAAACACGCCCACCCCACTGCTGGCAATGGCAAAAAAGTTGAGATATATCGTGACATGTCAAGTGACATTGCAAGTTTGACATTCCTGTTCTATGCAGAGGAAGCAAACACCTTCACAAAGAGATTACCACAAACTACCCTAACTCCAGATAAACTTTACTGAGAACTGAATTTGACACTATTCCTACTTGACTCTGCCACATGATATAGAAAAGTTTTGAAGTTTAACAATCTAACTCCAAATCAGCTAAGCTCCACCTTCAACATTATCCATTTTTCCCCATAAAATTTAGCATAGGGAACCATTGTTAATGTATGATATACAACTTACTCTATCAAGAAAAGTAACACAAAGCAAGTATCAAAGCCCCCCACACAGCTTTTGTTATTGAACATTTTGTGAAGTTTGCAATGAACTCAATAAACTTCATCCATTGTTATCCTTCCACTCTGACATAAGAGTGAGGCCAAAAGAATCTGATCCTGCTACATATTGCCTATAGTTTATGTTTGTTTATGTTTATTTAGATTTGTATACCGCCCTATCTCCCTTACGGGACTCAGGGCGGTGAACAGGCGATAACAAAAATCACAATAAATATCTATTCTAAAATCAAATTAAATAAATAAAGGCCTGCTCTAAAATACCCCATATAAAAACCTATACTAAAACCTAATTAAGACTACGCCAGGCCGGCCACACGAAATAGATGAGTTTTCAGGGCTCGGCGAAAAAGGCGCAGGTCCGCAGTTGTACGTAGGTCGGGGGGTAGGTCATTCCAGAGGGCAGGAGCTGCTACAGAGAAGGCTCTCCCCCTGGGGGTCGCCAGCCGGCATTGACTGGCCGACGGCACCCTAAGGAGGCCCTCTCTGTGGGAGCGGACTGGTCGAAGGGAGGTATTTGGTAGGAGGCGGTCTTGCAAATACCTAGGTCCATTGCCATAGTACACATCAAAGGTCCAAAGAAATGCTAACTAGCCCAGGAAGTATTCATTCTTCTGGTTTACCCACAATATAGTGTCTTTATGACAACACCCCCCCTTCTTAGTGAAAATAAAAAGCTAATAATATCTTTAGTACTGCAAACTGTACTATACATCTGTAAAATAAGCCTGGATTTTAAAGCATTTGTTTGGAAGGATTAGTAAATGCTTCTTTTAGGATTTCTGGAAGTCAGAAAAACAAATCTGCAGCAAATTCATCTTTGAAAAACAATGGCAGCTATACTAGATAACAAGGCCAAATCAAGGAGAAACCCAATGTGAAAAAGTAGGCAAATACTGACCCAGTGACAAAATCTGTTCCAAAACTTTGCTTAGTCAGAAATTATTTAATACTCAAAGAAACAATACATTTTCAGATACTTGCATTTTTATGATATTATGCTATTCAGCCATTAAACAAAAATCAAACCTCTCAATTTAAGTGGATCTTACTACAAATTCCATCTTAGATTCATATAGCTGCATCACGTGACGTGTCGTGATGTATAGTGACTTTTTTCACCTTGCCGGAGGTGGGGTGAGTGCGGCTTCCATGTGACACATCCGGCCCGTGAGCCAGTAGTTTGACACCCCTGCTTTAGTTTATAAAGATTTAGAGTAACAGTAACCATTACATATTGTGTTAAAAGTATTTTGCAATACTGTATAGGAAAAGAAGTATATAGGTTTCATTGTACTGGATTATATATATTTTATTGCAGATGATTAATTACAACTAATTTGAAACAAAATAAAAATCTCAAAAAAAATTATAAATTATCTTTAGTGGCCATTTACTCTTAATTTTCTTTCAATAACATTTATCTACATGCTGTCTACTCACTCTTTTTAATTTCCTAGCTTCTCTACCTTCATTTTTGTTCTAAAATGAATGGCTAAGCAATGAAATTGTGTTGCTTTCAGTACAGTTTGAAACCAGCATGATTGTAGGAAATGAAGGTGCTTATCATTTTCTTTTATAGCAAAATCTGCTCTATTTGCTAATTTTGCATAAAATAACTTAAAAATATGAAAGGATTTTTCTTCTTTTACCTCTGTAGCCATCTTCCCAATTCCTAATATACAATGAAGAATCAAGAGACACCAATTCATTAAAAAAAATCCCCACTATCATTAATATTGAAATCTACAGAAACAGCAGCAAAATATTCAAACCAAAGATATTGCTTTTCAAAAAGCCTTACTTTTTCTTTATACTGCTGAGATTTGACCAATCCAATTTTAAATTTATGGTTTGTAGATTTGGCATAATTATTACATAATATCTTATCCTTCTCTCAAACCAGAAAAAAGATGAGTCATGGTTTCCCAGATCAATGTACTGACAGATGAAAAATATTATGTTCTCATTAATATATCTAAAAGAATATTAAAACATGATTTTGAAAATCAAACTGCAAAAGCAATTCCCCTAAACAAAATATATGAATTCAAAATTATAGTTTCCAAGCAGAAATTATTCTTTAAACTTTATTTTGAAGGCTAATTTTATTTTAAGAATATGTATATATCGAGAGA